CAATTCTTACGGATAAAAATTGCGCGAACTACTAATTTATGTGTAGAAATAATAAAATGTAAACGACAAGTAATGGGGAGACTTGGTCACGTGGTACAGCTCGCGTTTGCCGTTTGACGTGAACATGATGCTTAACCTCTCTAATATCAATTTTATTTTCAACACTTGTATTTACATTGTAGTTAGTGGAACAAGGCACTAATGTCTCCAAAGAGGATCCTGAATTTTGACTTATTTTATTTGCTTAAGTGTACAGCATTTTTTTAAAAAAGATTTTAGAAAGTAAGAAGCTGTTTCAGATTTTAGGCTAAACAGGTTCTTGTATAGAGGGGGTCTAACTGGCAAATGTTAGCCTAACAGATTCGTAAAAACCAGGTTCTTACTCGTGGCTTTTAACTGTACCACTCGATATGTACATTATTGTATTGTATGGTTCAAACGGACAAAGTTGTCGAAAAAGAAAGTCACTATTTTATTAAACTCTTGGTATTTAAAAGGGATAAAAAGTTGGAAAACCGTAGGGTGAAGCGGAATTTCATTTGCCAGAATAAATTTTAAAAATCTATAATAATGGTTTCATTCCTCAATAGATTGCAGCCACCAAAATGAACTTTTACGTTCTGGAATGATCCTTGAATACATTAAGCACCATTGCCTGGTAGTGTAAATGGGAAATCTTTTACACGTCAAGGTGAATTTCCAATTCAAACGACTGACAAGGAAAATGTTTCAAAGACTTAACTTTCTCTTGTGCTTGTGTAGATAGAGCTTTTGCATATATATGTCTCGATACAAAGACGTCAAAAGATACATCTCTCAAAGAACTTATAACAATAATAAGCAACCTCGATCATATATTAACATTATAATAATCTTTTTTTTTGTTCCCACCCTTATATCCTGTCTCTTGAGAACAAATTGCGCGGATCACGTTTTCCATAAAAAGAGTGGACGTCATTAATGATAACGGCTTTCGAAAATACAAAAGCAAACATTTATTAACCCTTAGTACACCGTCATGACAATGGCAGAAAATTGTGCAGTATATGAACTGTTATGGAAAATAAAACAGTGAGAAACCAATTACTTATAACTTTTAAAGCGTTAAGCAATAAAAATTTACTATATCCTGCATGCACCTTGTGACTCGCACCACTGCACTAAACCACAAGAAAGTAGACTAAATAATTCTAGTACATTGCCACGGTGCGGTATCAATGACTTATGCTCCCTTGTAAAACACATTTACACACTGTTACGTAATCTTTGGAAAATTGTTTAAACTTCAATTCTGCACAATATTTTGCGGAAAAACTTTTCTCTTATTGTATAAACCAGTGACGTTGTTACCTATATATTGAATCCTTAAGCTGCTTCTTGAAGTAGTGGGCGCCTAGAAGTGTTAATTATTGGCCTCGACACATTGAGAAAACTTGTTCGTCTTTTCAACAATGGTCATATATTTGCTTAGACGAAAAAAAAAAAATCACGTCATCGCTGTAATATTTTTCCTGTAATGTTTATACTCAGTGTGAGATCTCAAATACATTTGACATTAGAAATATGGTAGAACTAACCTTTTTTTCATTTTCTTTCTCTAGAGACATTCAATGACTTAGCTTGCATTATGGCAGGGCCGAAGTGAAATTGTGATCATGAATATCTCCCACATATTTCTTTTTCAACCTTTTGTTTCCCTATATACCACAATGTGGGATGATTAAAGCGGTTACCAAGACAGGAAGAGGTATCTCCTTTCTTGGCTTTAAACTGAATTTACAAAGTTTAACTATTTCCTGTCCTATTTTAAAGAAATTGTGAAATACTTTTGTATTCGGCACAAATTAGAGAAACAGTGGGAAAGGCGTAAGGAAAGGTCTTTATAGGATCGACAAGTGCTGCTAAAATAAAGAAAGATAGGATAATGAGAAAGAAATTATGCTGATAAAACAGCAATAAGGTAGGTGGTAGGTAGCTGTTCAACTCTGATCCAGCACTTTAACATTAATTAAGTGATTCGCTACAATTGTTAGAAATCAAAGCATATTGATTTTTTCCCCACTCATTGGAGATGTAGACAAATAATTGGATTGAATCTATATAACTTTTCTTCAAATCATTGCCTTTATGTTAGCGAATCATCCAGTGCGATCGCAGATAATTCAAATCACAAAATTTCCAACAGTTCTCAGTGTTTTGTGTACAGTCCTAGCTTAATTGCGCCCTCGTTCGAAATTGGATAATGGACCTTTCCACGGCTTTCCAATTTTTGACATGCGTGATAGGTCTTAAATAAGCAAGCGAAAATACAGTTCCGCAAAGTAGGGTGAATTTACAGACGTTTGTATGATGGGGGGGGGGGGGGGGGGGGGGGGACAAGTTTTTGCCCCGGCCCCCCCCCCCAAAAAAAACTTCTGGGGGGGGTTATTTCTTCTTTGTTTTTTTTTTAAATTAAAACGCAATAGAATCTAAACCAATTTTTTTTGCCCTTATATAATAAAAAAAATTATTTTTTTTTCTTTTTTTTTTTAAAAAATCAATTTTTAGTTTTTTTTTTTTCTTTTTT